GGTTTCGTCCCGAAGGAAATTCGTGTCCGAGACTTCTTTCCTCATTGGCTTCATGAACCACCCGCGGAGAAATCGCAATCAGGCTAGAAATCAAGAGACTATGAGTTCTAGTCCCATCTTAATTAAAAAGCCATCTGGGTGACCTTGGACCAGTCACTCTCTTTCAGCCCAGGAAGCGGGCAATTGCTCAGCCGCGTGGGAAGGAGACAAGGGCAAAGAACTTCTGAAACCTTGTCAACAAAAACCTCAGAGATTAACCCAGGCAATTGCCAGGAGTCAAAGGCACAACTTTACATCTTGGTGTGCCAGAAAGCCATATGCAGAGTATGGGTTTCTCTCTCTTATTGTAACAAAAAACACGAACAGTGTGGGTGAGAGTCACCTCAGCAATTCTCTTGAAACAGGTCCCAGCATTCGGGTGGAGGGTGCTGCTTTCTTCTTTGAGTAGGACAGCTCCTTCCAGTCGCTCCTTAGTTTTCTCAGGCCAGTCTCCCAAACTGATATTGCCACCATCTCCTTGACTTTCTTCCCACTCTGATCTCATTGTTCCAAAAGGCCTCATTGCTTTGATGAGCCAAAACCAATCCCAGTGTATGTTAACATTTGTGCTCTACATGGGGCTGCCCCTGAAGAGTGTTTGGAGACTACAGTTGGTCCAGAATGCAGCCACGCGAGTGATATCGGGTGTACCTAGATACACTCATGTTACACCTATCCTCCGCGAGCTGCACTGGCTTCCTATTGGTCTCCGGACACATTTCAAGGTGCTGGTTATTACCTTTAAAGCCCTACATGGCCTAGGACCTGGCTATCTGCGAGACCACCTCCTGCTACATACCTCCCAACGGCCCATAAGATCTCACAGGCTGGGACTCCTCCGGGTGCCGTCGACCGGGCAATGCCGGCTGGCGACCCCCTGGGGGAAGGCCTTCTCTGTGGCTGCTCCGGCCCTGTGGAACGATCTACCTGCAGAGATCCCTTCCCACTCTCTCGGCCTTCCGAAAAGCCACTAAAACCTGGCTGTTCCGGCAGGCCTGGGGCTGTTGTCCCCATAAATGAGGTTTATCTAGGTTTGAGTGTATGGTGTGTTGTTTTTAAATCTGTTTTTTCTCTTTTCCCTATATTTTAGTCTTATTTCATTCTTGTATTTGTAAGCTGCCTGGAGTCCTATGGGATTGGGCGCCATATAAATTTATTAAATTACAGTTATTAAATTACTATAAAAAGACTGCTTGTGCACACGCTCCTCTTGCAGAAGTCAACACAGGAACAAATGTCGGAGAACATTACTGTGAGCTTGGCAGGTTGGATTGCTCCCAAGCCTTATCTGTGCTGGACTGCTGCCCAAGCTTGTTTGTGCCGGTTTGCTGCCAAGGAACTGTCTGTTAATTAAATGCCATAACTTATCTTTGGCTCGGAGTGTGTGTTCTGCACCTAGCACAGAAATGATGTCAGCTGATAGAAGGTACACTTCTTAAAGGGTAAAGAAGAAGTAGGAAAAACTTATGAGAATTATATTATTTAAAGCAGTTTAGCTGCTTAATGGGGAAATAAAGTTGAATTATCACAGGTACACTACAGGAAATAATCAATGTGAGGAAAATTGTGTTTGAATAACTTTTCAGATATGCATTATCGTAGCTAAATTTTAATCCACACTTCCACCATCATTTTGGCAAAGCGGCCCATATAACCAAAACTCTATTGTAACTATTGTAAAATTATAACTAAGAACTTGTGGTCCAAAGAGCAGGACAGGAAGGAAAGAGAAACCAACAGCCTTCAGGGAATAATTAACACCTACATCACACACTAAAATCCCAAAGCACAAAGACAGGGCACTTGATTTGGGATAACAACTATAAACCCCAAGGGGGGGAGGGGGACCACAGTTTTTAAAGTAATGAATACAATTCAGAACTCTTGATAGCATCTTAGAAATAAGTCACAATGAAAAAAAGCTGTTCAGATCAAAGCTGCCCCCAAACAAATGAAAAAGATAAACTCACCAGCAATTGAGGTCAAAGATACGAAGCTGGACTAGAGAATCCTCCATTGTTGTGGATGCAAGACAATGTACAGGTGAATTCCAATGAACACTTAACACAATGAGAAGTTCTGTTTCAACTTTTTGAGCAAGCTGGGACTTTTTTTTCCGCCTCTGCGAGAAGAACAGGAATTGTAACTAAGAACTATGGTTTGGGGACTTTGAAGGGAGGTAAAGCTGGGGTGGGGCAGTTGGAGGAATTGATTCAGCCAGGTTTTGTGTACAAAGGGAGAGGAAGCCTGTGTGGTAAACCCCTTTTCATCACTTGAATATTTGTCTCTCTTTAGTTCAGTGGTTCCCAGCAGAGCTGGCTGGAGAATTCTGGGAGTTGAAGTCCACAAGTCTTAAAGTTGCCAAGTTTGGGAACCACTGCTTTAGTTAGTAAAAGCAATCATAAAAAGTTTTGAAATCCACAGCTGAGCAATACATTTTTAAACACCAATGAAAATATAAAATTTCAAGTTCTCCAGGACTCTCATTCTGGAAGAGAACTCGAAAGCTTGCACACTGTTGTGACATTTTAGTTGGTCCAGATAAAGGAAATGCCCAACTATGGCACAACTATCAAAGTGAAGGAGATCAAAGTCATCCTCCCTTTGACTTAATGCCACTTAGATATGATAGATATAAATTACCCTAACTCCTAAGATGGCCAATAGCAGTCAGCAGATTCTGGAAAGTTGTTCTAGGTATTATATCTGCTCACTGTGCTCAGCGTTTTTTCTGACTTTTGAGGTTAGCATTTCTGAGCCACACAAAATGGTAAATGTTATACTGTATGAGTTTTAAAGAAGAAATAGCAACCACATTTTGAATGTGAAATTTCATTTTTGTATAATTTGTGATAGTTCTGCAGTTTTAGCCTTCATTTTTTTTAATTGGCATTTTGCATCCTAGTTGTTTTCTGTCAGAAATTTCTGAACTTTATCCTAAATTTACTATAATGACCATTTCTATGTTTGGAAGGCTTTCTCCCACTGATTGGTAGTGAGACATTTATTCCAATTTTCCTAGAAAGCATACAAATGTTGTTATGTAAACATGTGCATCAGCTTGGGTGACAAATGTTCTGAGCCTTGGGTTGGGTTTATATACTGCACAAACCTATAACAGGATGTGCCTGTTTATGGCAAACACAGTGCACAATACTAAAAACATCTGAAATGACTCTAATATGAAAACATTATGATTTGACAGTTTTCTATACAACTAATGAACAAAGCTGTCAGTCACTGTCTTGTCTCTTTCCAACCAAGACTTACAATTTAACCTTAACATTACTCTTTATTTCGTGACCTTAAAAAATTACATATTTTATGTAGCTTGGCTTTGCTACCTGAATAAATTTTATTATGTTGATCTCTTCATTATATAGCAACAAGGTTGAAATTTATTACATAGTGATATTAATATACCATTGAAGGATTATAATATCGCTAAAATATAATTTCAATATTTAGTGAGTAATGAATAAGAAATCAGAAAGTGATCAAACACATTCTACAACATGTGCATCAGGGGTGGGTTCTGGCAGGCACTATTGCCGGTTTGCTCGCGGGTGTGCTGCAGGTGCTTGATGCGTACTGTGCATGCATGCACAGTGCAATAAAAGTTGTTCTGTCCATGTGCAGAAGCGAAAAACACGATGGCAGTGCCAGAGAACCAGTTCAGGGGCGTGGCGGGCACGAGCTGCCAAGCCACTACCAGTTCAGCTGAACCAGTCCGAACTGTTAGGAACCCACCACTGATGTGCACTGATGTTGTGAAGTTAGTTTAGCTGCTGTTTAGCATACTCCATTTTTACACACAGATTACTGTGGTATGCTTGGTATAGGCTATTTATGCAATCCCCTACATGGCTTAAAGTTAATTAGCCTTGCAGCACAAAAATAAATGGAACATAAAGAAAAAATAAATGGAACATTAAGAAAGCAAATTACAAAATAATCAAATGCTTACTATAAAATTATCACTGTTTTTATAGCAGTTGTTTTTTCTGAAAGTGGGAGAGACATTCTTTGAGAACCATGGTGTTCATAGATTCAGTATTAGCTTTTCTTAAATTTACCCTCAGGTAAAAAAAGCATGAGATGGAATTGACAACTCTTCCTTCCTTGCAATCTTTTGGTATTATAGTGTGATGACAATGCCAGCAAAATATAAGAATTCAAATCTATGACTGCCAATCTGTCTGACTGCCAATAGACTTGGGGTCCAGTTCTACAGACACAACAAAGAACTATATAGCAATAATACATACATAAAATACAGGAAGTAAATGTCATTCCTTTTCACAGTATCGGGCAGAGACAGTAAACATTCTATTATATAAAAGAAACTTCTTGAGGCAGAGGGAAGACCCTCTTATCCTAAATCAAATTCAAATAATATTATACTAAGAACAATTAAGAATCTTATACACCCCAAAATATTACAAATGCGTCATAATGCAGATTTTCACAGGATTTAATAATGTCACCCAATTTCATGAGTTCCCAACATTTTTATCCTCAAATGTTAGATATCTCATTAATGCCAGAAATCAAATGTCAGAAGAAGCAACATTCCAAAATCACCGGGGGTGGGGGGGTATTTTAGCCAGCCAAGACAATTTTGCCAATGATCCTAAAGTGACCACTCTGAAGCAAAACTTTAAAAACAGATTGCAAAATGAAGACCCTTAATTACAATTCAAGAATAGAACTATACAGCTTCACTTTAGAAAATGTTTCTGAACAACTGACTTCCAGCATCAACCATTCTGGCTGATGATTTCAGTTCAACATTTAGAATTTATCTTCCCCATTCCTGAAGGAGACATTTTGCCTGTTTTGATTTGAAGGGAGATCACAGATTTAAAAATGCACTCTACAAGCTCACCAAGGTTTGCTCCTCTTTTTAATAAATGTCATTTGCACACACTATAGTTGTTTTTTGCTTTTTGCTGTCCAAATCTAATGGACCTTTATCTTCGGCATCATGACGGCATTTTGTGCACCAGTTAAACTATTGGTTCAAATAACGTTTTGAAACTCTTGAGGCAAAAATCCAATGTCTTTTGTTCTGCATTGTGTAGGAAGCTTCAACATCCACTTGAGCAAATTTGGGAAGGGGGGTTGGGAACAGTGCAGAATAGGAAAGCTCATTTCCCACCCCTCTCGAGTCACTGAACATTTCCAAAGACATTAACAAAACAGTTACCAGGAAGGAAGTCGCGTGTGTCCTCTTTTTGCTGGAAGAGAATGCTTAGTCGCTAAATCAGATTAAACAAATTCTCCCACACTGAATTCACCTTAAGCCTCTTTTTTCCATCTGACGTTCAAGGCATGACAATATTAGCACGCTCACCATTCCCAGTAGTTTGCTCAAGGGACGTTTTAAAGAGTGCTAGAGCAGCGTCTCTTCGTCTTCAGTCCTGGCCGATTTTAAAACAGAAAGACTGCCAAGCATTCTATCTTAACAGGTATCAATCTCCTATTTCAACATATTGAGGGGAG